TACACCTACAAAGACGTGTCCAATGGTGCAACAGGGTACCGGCATGGAACCTCGGGAACTGGCAACGAGTTTGGTTCAGCGATGAATCGCGTTTCCTCTTGCAACAACGGGATGGGAGACAACGTGTCTATCGACGTCGACATAAACGTTTTGCACCGAACTGCCTTCAACTGGTGGACAGATTTGGTGTAGGTATAGCGTCATGGTGTGGGGAGCCATGTCCTACACGGGTAGATCAGAGCTAGTGGTGGTTCAAAGCAATCTTTCAGCAAATCGCTACATCAACCAAATCCTGCGACCTCACCTACTCCCACTTTTTAACCTCCAGAGGGCGCTGTTTCAACACGAGAACGCTCGACCCCACACAGCTCGTGTAACAGGGGTCCGTTCCTCAAAGCAGTCGTAGCGCTACGACTGTCGTAAGTCTATGTTAAAGTATGGGAGTTACAACAGTCGTAGCGCTACGATCGCTTTGAGGAACAGGGCCCAGGTGCCTATCTCGTCAATGCAAACGTCAGTTGTCCCTGCCATGACCTTCGAAATCGTCTGATCTGAACCCGATCGAGCATCGTCACCATCGTCCTCAGACACTTGCAGAACTTGCCAACGCGTTACAGGAGGAATGAAACCCGCGAAGATCCGGGTTAGAATTGATCTTCAGCAACCCATGCTTTTCGTATTTATATAAGTGGCGGCTTACGGGATTGGGTGGTGAGGCTCGCTGACTTGGTTGACAAATGTCATCGTATCCCAATCGCGTAGGTCGATGCACAAGCTGTTGATCACTGGATTGTCTGGTCCAGACGTTCAGATTTTCTGAGAACCGGTATATTGGGTAAAGAACATATATTAAGTTTCTGCATGTGATTATCTTTTTGTTTTAAATTAAAATCTACACATACTTTCATTCACAACAAATGTATTCCTTCGTTATTCAATAACAAACGACATACAGTAATGCAATAAATTGTATAAAAAGGAAAAAAGAATCCTTGACTATGCAACCTAATTTTGAGATTGCTGTTATCAGAACCATAACATATATGTTTAGGGACTTATAATGTAGAAAATAGGATTGACATGCACAATTAGTGTCACTCACTGTCAAACACTTAAGTCATATCGCAATACGTATCGCAATGAGTACCTGAATCGCAATATATTGCAATACAATTTATTTGACAATACAGAGCCCTAATTACCAAGTGCAAACTGGTTCTATCCCAGTATGACTACATCCCAACTTGACTACTGTAGAAATACACATCCTAATTTGGTACCCTATGCCGTAATGGAATAGCCCAATTAGTGACTACTTGGCTTATGATGTACATGGAGTAGCCGTATGTTTGTACTAGTAGTACGGAGTATTAGGAAATTAAGTGTCACCGCTTCTGAATTTTATTTAACTTTAAAACTATACTATAAAATACAGGAATGGAAATTTCCTGGCAGTGGAGACTGGATGTAGAGGAAACATCTCAACAGTTGGTGAATTCATCCGTACTGTTACGGGGATGCACAACCTCCAGCCAGAAGACGAGGCATCATTTCGACTAATGAGCAAGGCTGCTGAGTGAGTGAGTTTAGTTTTACGCCGCACTCAGCAATATTCCAGCTATATGGCGGCGGTCTGTAAATAATCGGGTCTGGACCAGACAATCCAGTGATCAACAGCATGAGCATCGATCTGCGCAATTGGGAACCGATGACATGTGTCAACCATATCAGCCAGCCTGACCACCCGATCCCGTTAGTCGCCTCTTACGACAAGCATGGGTTACTGAAGATCAATTCTAACCCGGACCTTGACGGGTCCAGGGCTGCTGAAGTTGGACTGATTTCTGTGCTATGTTTAGTGTACAAATACTTTCATATACAGATATTTATATACATGTATAATTAGGTTGCATATTTTAAGCATGGATGGTGCAAATAGAGTATGTATATGTTATTTTACTGTTGCATTTTACATCTTGTTTTTGAAAGAAGGAAGAAGATGATAAATAATCAGAAGAAACTATGCGTTCTTTTCCTTTTTGTGTTCAACACGTAATGCAAAACTACCATAGTCATTATGCCAAGACCCCTTTGCATCTAGGTTGTAGGAAAAAAGTCCTTCGTACAAAGGTATCAGTAAAAAAGTCCTTTTGTAGTAAAAACTGATTTAGTTATATCTATTTGACAAGACTGAATAAACAAACATGAAGATAGCACATATAATGACATATTAAATTTTGAAATTGTTGTTTGATCTTTTAAACGACCTAGGCAAATTTAGGACTTTTTGCCGGTACTTATAGAGGACGTTTTTACCTCCAGCCTCTAGGGCTGCTGCAAGGGTGTCCTCCCATTTGTGTTTTCAATAGATACTGAATTACTGAAAATGATTATCGTGAACTGGTGATATATTCTACTTGTTGAAGGCCTGCCATAATGGTGACCGGAAAGAGCAGTCAAAGGTTAATAAATACATTTGGATTAATTATAGCTGCAACAGTTATTGCTAGATTTTTCAAACACGTAAATCTGAGTAGGTAAATTAATTTCTCTTTCAAATGATCACGAAGTTACCTACACAAAGTGTTTATTTTTTAAAGCCATTTACCTGAGTAGGTTAATTACTTTATATTTTAGAGTTTCATTAAGTTACCTCCACAAGATTCAGTTAAATAGCTAATCCATAATTAGCTGGGGTTAATCCATTCTATCAGATAGGGGAGTAAGGTGTGTTTTCTTTGCTAATTACCTACTCCACTGTCTCACAACTGGGAGCCTCACAACTGGGAGTTCTCACAAATGGGAGTAGACCGCTGCAAGTGTCAGGGAAGGTGTGACAGCTAGTAATTAGAAATCACTCAACCATTCAAGGTGTGTATTAGAGGAGTAGTCAAAATGGGAAGACAACGTGCAAACTATTGCAGTAAATACCCTGGACCTGCTCGGCATGCTCCCTCGGCATCAGTGCTTCGTTTTGAGAGTCACGTCATGTTATCTTATTCACATATATCAGTAACTAAGCATACAATTTCTCTTGAACGCCGTTGGCTCGTCACGCCGAAGACCCGGGTTCGAATCCCCACATGGGCACAATGTGTTAAGCCCATTTCTGGTGTCCCCCGCCGTGATGTTGCTGGAATATTGCTAAAAGCGGCGTAAAACCAAACTCAGTCAGTCAGTCTCTTGAACGCGAGAGTTATTTGACTGGACAACTATTTCAAGCACCCAATAGGTCCCGCATGTTTTCCGTAACTGATAAACGGCGACAATCTAGATGAAGAAAAAAAAAGAAATTCCCGACATGGTGAGAATTGGCTTATCTTTTCATACCTTCGATTTCCTTTCTTGGGTTGTCGTCCACTTTATGAACTTAGATTCATCTGGGATAAGCAGTTGAAATCCGTTTATCGTCATAAAGTTCTTGTTTAGAGTGAGTAAGTGAGGTTTAGCAGTATGCTAGCAATATCACGGCGGGGGACACCACAAATGGGCTTCACACATTGTACCCATGTGGGTAATCGAAACCGGTCTTCGGCGTGACGAGCGAACACTTTAATCAATGGACTACCCCATCGCCCTCTTGTTACATGATGACGCTCATAAGGATAAGACTTAAGACTCAGTGACAGAAGATTAAAAGAGCGTCTGGTTTGTGATAAAGTGCATATCACTATAGTCTACAACATATCATACTTGCGTGATAATGTGTTTATAGATGCTGATTTGCCTTCTAACGCGGTCGCTGCAAAAGAAATCATTTCTTTCGTTTTATACCTGAAAAATATCTTGAAACAAAATATTTTTGTGTTGTAATACATATTGTGTTTCTGAGTCCCTGTTACATATAAAACCGTGGGCAGCCACCCAGGGTAGTGCTTGGCCAAATCATATAAAAAAGATAGGCATCTTTAAAGGGAACAAGCAAGATTACACCTGACTTGAAAAGGCAATTGTTATACGTAATATTTATGTTATTGAGGTTCATATTAAAGGTATGATGCTGGGGACTCAGATGTTTTAAATAACATGAACACTCACATAGACAGTGTTAGACACTCAGTCACAATCAGATTCACTCACATTCTGCATTAAACCATTAAAAGGTTAAACGTAGACGCCTCAAAACATAAATTTAAGCAATCAAGAATGGTTGTACTCATTAAATCAAGATCGCTGAACTTCTGAAATCGACATGTCTACATTAGCTAGTTCGTGGTACCACATCCACTTTGTATAGAACTTAGCTTGTTGACTTTTGCTATAAGCAATATTTCTTTGAAATACAATATTTGCTAATGTACCTAGAGAACGAATTTAGCGAAATATATAGGTCGCGTCGTCGTAGGGACCGTTCATAATTTATGGCTAGAGGGGTGATGATGATTTTTATGGAGAAGCATGTACAAATATGAATTAACCCCCTAATTTATGTACAAAGTAAGTGACAACCACCCCACCCCCTGCATGTCATTTATAAAATCAATGACACCTCTTCCCCATAATTCTTAAAATATATTTGCACAAATTTGCTGACACACCCACCCCACACCCACACGCCCTTAGAACAATATGGGTGACCCCCCTTTAAATCAGCAGCAACAACACACACACACGGACACCCCTTCCCTCTCACTTCTCTCTTTACCCCCCTCCCTTCCCTTCCACTTACCATAGAATGCATAATAACATTATCCATTTAATTTATGAGTTCTCCCTTTAGTTTCAGTTATTTAATTTAGTAGATACATCCTATCCGTTTTTGTTGTTTTGAGTGTGAAGCTGTTTATCATATTCCCGCACTCACGCTATTTAAAGAATAAGTTTATCGTCACGTGATTCAAAGACGCTCGGATATCCTCGATTGTATCGGAATAAACCGAGGAGTCCCGATTGGCCAAGAAATAATTATCATTGGCCATAATGAATCGCCACCTTCCTAACTAATCTATTCTAGCTCGCAGGATCGCGTTTTCGATAGCGGAATTTGTCGTAAACACCCGAGTATTCCCGACTGGGTCAGCTTATGAGAACATGGCCGCCTAAATGTGGGAAAGAATTTTCGTGAAATTTAGAAGACATTTTGGAAGTGCACACGCTAAAAAAGAAGAAAACACCGCGTGTTTACACAAGAAAAACGCACATCGAATCAAACGGAGGTAAATCGTTGCGCAGGTGCTTTGAACTGAAACAGATAACCGGCACCAAAACGAAAGCTTTTGTCCTCGGCGCGCACCTGCTCAGTGGCTATGGTGGGGTGATCTGAACATACCGGTGATGTGTTGACCTAACTTGCTCAAATACCGTTTCCAGTTTAACAGTTTCTACAAAAGGAAGTCAAAATGTTCATTGACACGCTTGAGTTTACGATCCCTGTGGATTTGTGTAATTTATACATGACTCTTCAACAACAAGGGACGAAATCACAACTTGATTTCCCTGCGTCTGTGAACTCGTACGGCACAACACAAGACGCCAATGTTCAAGTGGCTCTCCGAGCAAACAAAGTGACGTTCAAAGTGGATGGTGTGTCATCAAACGCGAGCATAATTTCCAAAAGTGAATGCAAAACGTTAAAACTGTCAGTGTTCGATGTAGACAGATCGTTAATGCCCCAGAAAAATACAAATAATTCAAGTGGCATGTCACCGGTTCTTCAGCCACAACCTGTGTTAAATGCATCAAAAAGATTACATGAACAATCTGTGTCATTACCACATCCACCTGCTAAAAGCAGTAGGACTTCTTTTTCTGAGTCCCCAAGACCCAGGTCTCCACTTCGTCGCTCACAACCTCAATCCAGTCCACGTCCATCTATTAACACACAATCAAAATCTCATCAAAATGACACTCCTGTGAATGTGAAACAAGAACCAGAAGATCCAGATTTAATAGAAATAGAACCAGACCCTGAACCTGACGACATTGTGCCAAAGAAAGAGACTCCATACATGCAAATAGATTATTCATCCGATGTACCTCATACGCAAACGTCCCAAGCAGCTTTAGATCGACTCTCTCATCCACAATCATCACATTCTCAGTCACCCGGTTCTTCATCATCGTCTTTCCATCAAAACGTTCCACATGCTCCAGATTACGCCGAACCCAGTACTAGTCAACATGTTCAAGGACAATATGGTGATCAAAGTGCAGATGAATTTTTAGTGTTTCAAGACGACAATGACTACGGCGATGATAACGAAGCAGATTACAGCAATGACGGTAATTATCAGTTTCTTTGTTCCATTTCTGCATAGAACTGCTGGCCAATTCAGTTATGAGTCTTCCATACACAAGACTTCACAGGCTTACACAATGTATACACTAAACTCCAGTGACCCCCAACAACAGTGTCATGTGTGTCCACCTTCCACAGATTAGGGTCAGGATAGATCCCAGACACCACTTTACGAATGAACAACCATCTCACAGTAGGGGTGAAACAGTACACTCTTACCACGGTACTGTACGTAATGCGGTACAAGGCCTTTGGTTCGGTCCGTTTCGGTTCGGTATGTGAGATATGATCATAATGCAGAAAATTGACAAGAGCCAAACCTTACATTGTTTAATAACATGCAAAAACAATAACCATAATCTTTGTTATTCTGAATAAACAAAACTTAGTTTCATGACAAGATAGAAGAATTAAACCTTGGAGCTCACAGATGCTGTGTGGCAAAATAGCAAGTAGCCAAGTATGGTTAGAAGTCACTAACGTCACATCAGCATTTACTGCAGTGAAGTGACCTCGTCCCAGAAAATGTTCATGCTTAAAAAAACAAAAACAAACAACAACACACAAATCAGATGTTGTCTAATGTGACTCCGTTGATGACATATCGTAGACAAATAAATTTAACAAATTAACATGACAGTTGTCTTAAGACAGTTACAGTCTGTGTGACTGATCATTGTCCTTGGTCTAAATCATCGTCTATCTCTCGTTTCAAACGGTTAAACATTTAGAGACTTGGGAAGTACTGCTACACAATCTTGGCACATTCCAGAAATTTGTTTTGTTCAGTTTTCAGATTCATTCAAAATATCTTTTAAAGTTCACTCAGAAATGTATTTTTCCTTTCTGAAACAAATATGTTTTAGCTTGAGAATGCTGATTTCTCTTTTATTGCTCGTTAAATTTTCATTGTTCTGATATAGGTTGTAATGAGATGGTAGCAACAACAAACAAACAAGAGACCTAAGAACTGTGACGGAAAAGCCACCAGATCCATACCCATAATTGCAGTCATCCCTCACCATAACCCCCGATGACCCCCCGAGTTATGAGACAAAATAATGTTATACATATCCCAGAATAAAGGCCAAGTAAACTTTATTTTCCAAATATATAACAGAACTGCTATTTCGTGTATTGTGCCCAGTCAAAACTATATGGTATCGTCGGAGGTAAAAAAACAAACTTTTTAAATGAATATAAATATGTACGAAAACTGAAAATACCGAATTTTTGGATTGCATTACGGTATACCGAACTGAAGGCAAAATACCATGGTACTACTAATACCGTGGTGTACCGTTTCACCCATATCTCACAGGGATTTACAGGGTGCGAATTCCTGTGTCCTATACGTATAAAAGACTCAGGAAAAGTCCAAAATTTATTTGTAAAACTTCCAATCAAGTGACAATAAGTTATCACTGAGTTTGCTACTAGCTGGGTTATGGTATTATTTGCAATTTAATTACTGTAACAATGTGATGATAATGATACAGAATACAATGACAGTATTAATAATAACATTTAAGTGTCTGGGACCCCCATTTTGTTGTCCAGGACCCCTGAAAACTAAGAGTATGAGTCCCAGGGACCCTCAAATACAGTACTCTATGTAAATCCCTGTCATCTCTACTCTCTAAAGAGGCATAGATGGCAGAAGTGTAAATTCATGGTGTTATTTGTATAGTTAATTGTGTTTCTAGGGCAAAACCAGAGTCTTTGGTTATTGATCTCTGCCCAAAACATTTGAGAAACATAATTTAATCCATTCTCCATGCATTTTTCAGTATCCTTCTATCTGGGACTTCAAACAATTTTGGAAACACTTTGAATTATATCTTTCTTGATATATATAAACGAGGGTAACTCCGCCCAGTAATGATATTGTTCGGCCTAAAACAAAAGCTTGTGGTTCCGATTTCCCGACCGACCCTAAATATTCCCGCCGAGCCTTACAATTTTACTCACCACATAATAAATTAAATTTATTTTCTGACACATGAGTAATGTAAAAATATTTTGCAAAAAAATATGTTAAAACCTACCTACCTACCTACCCTAGTTCTGAAATGTAGGAAATCGGAACCACAACATTTATTTTTTGGGCCTAATGATATGGTTAGTCACTTTGACCACTGATCACTGATTTTAGTGTCCATGGCTGTCAAATTTAGGCACACGCGTTATTATCAGGTGATTTATGCAATACTTTGAAACTTACCGTTGAAACCTAATAATATTGTTTCTTTGTGATTTACACTTCATAAAATCCTAGTTAAAAAATATGTAAAAATACATCTAAAAATGACAACCTGGATTAGGAAGCACTTAAGGCTTGGGGATAGACCGTAGGCAAGAAAATATGGACTCTTATTGAGAAATGTTCAGCATTTCCTGCAGATATTGGTAATAATATTGGCCTGTCTCATAAAGTACAAGATGAACAACCTTATACTACTGATCCGACTCAAGTGTGACTGTCTGTCCTAACATATTAACCTATTTTCCCACCAACCTTATAAATAATGAGAATCATTTCTTCTTCGCAGTCTATAAGGTGCAGCAGTTTGTTGTGCAGAGTTGCATCCCTTGGGTCCAATTTTTGATCATGTTTCTAATGTCTGCCCTATACTTCAGGGGTTGCAGTGGGGTAGCCTGATTGTTGAAGCACTCACTAGTCAAGCCAAAGACCTGGGTTCGATTCCTCACATGGGTACAATGTAGAAGCCCATTTCTGGTGTCCGTGCCATGATATTGCTGGAATATTGCTAAAAGACAGCGTAGAACTACACTCACTCACTCTTTCATTCACTTGAAGCCAGAGGTAACACCTCACCCTTGCTTTGTGGAAAACATGGTGCGTCACTTCAGGCTTCCCTCCCACAGCAAGCTGACATGCCATGATATGACAGGAATACTGTTGAATGGAGTTACAGCAACTTACTCCACCCACTTCCCAAGTTAAGCTTTAAAGTTGACAGACAAGCATCCATGTTACACACCCATGACTGGTTGGGCCAGCAGTTCAGTTCTGCACAGTGTTCGATCATGTCATCAGCTGAGAATTTTGCTCATCATTGTTTACGAACTGTTTGCCATTTTGTAATAATAACCATTGATAAATAATTGTTGTAGTGAAGAGTAGGAAAATTGCAGTTCAAGCCAAAGTAGAAACAGACTCACTTTCCAGTAGGAAGGAAGTTGTCCATAACATTTTGTAATTTGTAATATTTAGAGCATTCTTTCTAAGTATTCTTCATGTTCATGCAGCAATGTACAAAATCACTTAACATTATGCCATCTGGATTGGTTTACTTTGTGTAGTTGTAAATGGTAGAGACTTTGGTATAAAAAAATGGAAAATACCCTGAATTGTTTAATCGCTTGATGTGAGCTAGTTGTTTTGTCAAAGTAGAAACAGGCACATTGCAGTTTAAGCCAAAGTAGAAAAAGAAATATTGCAGTTTAAGCCAAAGTAGAAACAGACACATTGCAGTTTAAGCCAAAGTAGAAACAGGCACATTGCAGTTTAAGCCAAAGTAGAAACAGGCACATTGCAGTTTAAGCCAAAGTAGAAACAGGCACATTGCAGTTTAAGCCAAAGTAGAAACAGACACATTGCAGTTTAAGCCAAAGTAGACTAGTCAAGACTAGTGTGAGCTTTAGTTTACTAGTCTTCAGATTCTGCAGCCAGTCATGCTTGATTGAGAGAGATATGTGTCTACCATGTTTTCATTTTTGTGTAAGTTTCATTCAGTTCTGGTTTGTAGTCAAGTTGATGCATAGAGAACTCGCTCAGAATGATAGCCTTCAAACGTTACAGATCATTGAGAACCTCTATTTATAGACTTTATACTTGTTGGAAGCACAATTTGGTTGTCTAGGAATAACAGACTATTGTAAATTCTAACACTATTAATGTGTTGTTCAAGTTTCAAATAAGGACCATGTTGAAAATTAAGATTCACTTTAGGAAAGTTCAACTGTTTCATATGAAGTTCCGCTTGTCTGTGTGGTCAGTCTGCCACTAATCGGAAGTCTGTGTATGGTAGAATTCTGTTGTATGTAGTATGTATAGTAATCTCAGCCAAAAATAGTCAATATTAACTGGAAAGTTTTACTGAAAACCTAAGTTTGGGATAGTACATTTAAGTTTTGGCACAGACTACATTGTCTGAAAGAGATTCTGTGAAATTGTTGTTGAAAATTATTTATTTTCATTTCAATTTTTATGTTTCAACCTGGCCAAATTTGGTCTAGTGCATTTGTAATTATTCTGGAATAATGACTAGATAACAATGGCCGTCACATTCTCAGCATACTGGTGACACCATGATCAAGCACTGGTACAGAACTCAAATAGTGACATATGTGCACTTAAATAAAGCTAAGGCCATGATAGATAACGTAATAACAATAATAATCACCATAATTTGATACCAGTGAGAACAAAAGAAACTTGAATCTTTCGTCGAAGGGAGGTTTTATAACCTACAAATGAAAGAAAAACATTGGTGTTCATTCAGAAAATATATTATCTATCACATTTGATATTTGTTGTCATGGCCTGGCGAAATGTATAAATCAAAGATTATCTGATTTGATTATTTTGAGAAACTTTTTCCAAATTGGGTGGTTATTAATATATACACTGGTGTAGTTGTTCCAATGTTATCAAATCAGGAATCTTTGATTTAGTATTGTGTGTTTGTGTTATCCAGGAGTTCGTTGAACACCAAATCTGCATTTGGTTAAATATTTACATATGCTATATTTGGGATTACACTTTTTTGAATAAAGTGCAGATTTTAGTACCTTGGTTTAATTGAGTATCATCCAGTATATTTGAACCCACACTCTTAAGAGCCGGGCACCTAATCAGCAGCACACAAGGTCGGTGATCTAACCCACTCAGCCGATGCATCTTCCACTGGGTGGGTTAGATCATGTTTGTTTGCTGGCGATTAGGTGCCTGACTCTG